TTCCCGGCCCAAATTTCAGCCGGCTTGCGTCAAAATGGCAGCGCGCGGACGGGCGGGACGCACGCCCTTGTCCTCCCCTGGCCCGCCTGTCGGGGGCACATCCACCCACTTTCCCTCAATTTCGTCCAAAACCCTTCCGACGGACAAAGGCGGCGGAGAAAAAGGCTGTTGCCGACTGCGCCGCCGAGGCGGTCGCGCGGCATGCCGCGTAGCACCAGGCCAACATCGACGAAAAGGAGTCCATCGTCACCAAGGCGCACACCCTCCTTATGTTAGGGTTGTGCTGACCCCTGCCGGCCATTCTCTCGGTCGCTCGCTGCCATGGTCGGGGCTAGCACAGGCTCGTCGGTGGTTCGTCCTCCACAACACCGGTCCTCGAGCTCGTCCGTCACACTCGAGACGCTAGGGTATCGTGCGCCGTCGCTGCATGGCCATGGGCAGACACGGTTCTCTACGTCATCAGACTGAAGCGTGGTCGCTCCGGCCACACCCGCGGACGTCATCGACCTCAACCTGATGCCGGGGTACAATGGCGTTGGTCAGCCGTCTGACAGAACGCAAAGGAAGCAGCCCCCGGACGATTGGCCAACATGGCCGGTGCCCGCAAGTTGTTCAAGGAAATGCCACTACCAACGTCGATGGCCGACGACCCTGACTACGCGACGTTCATGGCGAGGCCTTCCACATCGACAGACAAGGCCAAACTTTCGATCCAGATGCGACCTAAAGCCAGGACAGTCGCGACCAATATGGTGACACTCAATTCGTCGGCCAATATGATCAAGATGAGGACGACCATGGCAACTCCTGGCATGAAGATGATGACTTGTATTGTGAAGATGAGGAAGAAGAGGTTGACATTGTGGACGAGCCATTGGTGTTCATTGATGAGCTCATCCAAAGGACCAAGGCACAAAAGAGGAGGCAAATCATTCGCATGGGATCATACATCCAAGAGGAGGACACTTTGATTTGCGGGAGTTGGATGGAGATAGGCCAAGATCCGGTGAAAGGTGTCGAGCAAAAAGGATCCGTCTTTTGGACGAGAGATCACAAAACTTTTCATGAGCAAAGGAAGTTTGCCCCCTACCAATTTGCAAGCACTCGCGGCATCAACTCAATGCAAAAGAGATGGGGGTTCATTCAACAAGAGTGCAACAAGTATTGTGTCGTGCTTGAGAGCGTCGAAGCCCGTCCCGTGAGTGGCCTAGGCCTTGGTGACTTGGTATGAACCTCTTGTTTTTTTCCCATCTTGTTCCCTTTCATGTTGGCATGCCATGTTTCATGCATCTTGTGTCTTTCCATGTTACAATTGCAGCCGCATCTTTGATTGTGTAGGCATTTCAATCTTTGGAAGCCTTCAAGGCCCGTCACAAGAACAAGCCATTTACTCTCACGTATTGTTGGTCGCTAATCAAAGATTGCCCCAAGTTCAAAGACCAATATACCGCTCGTAAGAAGAAAGGAGGGAAGGCGAACGTGGCTGATGAGGGAGACTTGCTCAAGAGGCCGAGGGGCAAGACAAGCTTGAAGGCCGACGAGAAGCGTGATGCGTCTTCCATGGCCTTGCAAGGAACTTTAGAGAACATGACGAGTCAAAAGGAAGTGAGGGAGGAGAAGAGGAGCAAAGGGAAGGAGGAGCAAATGAAGATATACCTAGAGCTCGAAATGAAGAAGCTTGACATGGAGGAGGCCGGGAAGAGGAGGAAGCTTGACATCGAGGAGGCCGCTCAACTCAAGAAGCTCGAGATCGAGCCCACCAATGCCAACACCAGAGCAAAAGAGGTGCCACTCGCGATCATGAGCATCGACAAGAGCAACATGTCATCGGAGAGGAAGGCTTGGTTCGTGAACCGGCAGAAGGAGATGTTCGCCCGCGACGGCCTGAACTAGGTGAGACCTCGGCCGTGGACTATGGCCGTTCATTTTCAAGGCTGGCATGGAGTGCCGGCTGCCGGCTTTGTTGCCGGCGTCAAAAACTTGTTCATTTTGAAGGCTGGTTTGTTTCCCGGCATCTGGCTTTGTTGTCGGCGTCAAAAAACAGGTCCAATTTGAAGGTTGTCGAGTGTGCCGGTCGCTGACATTGTTACCGGCGTGAAACTGGAGGGTGCCCATATGTAGTCCACTGGCTTTGTTGTCGGCTGACATGACCACGGCTGCTGGCGTGAACTATGACCGCTGCCATTTAGCTACGTTTTTTGTTGTTTTCAAGGCTGCCATGGAGTGCCGGCTGCCGACTTTGTTGCCGGTGTCAAAAAACAGGTTCAATTTAAAGGTTGTCTGGTGTGCCGGCCGCTGATATTATTACCGACATGAATCTAGAGGGTGTCCATATGTAGTCCACTGGCTTTGTTGCCGGCCGGCATGACCACGTATGGCCGCTGGCGTGAACTATGACCGCTGCCATTTAGCTACGTCTTTTGTTGTTTTCAGATTTACATGCACGCGGACCAGATGCGGCTGCGTATGAATTCGGACGAACATTGTCATTATCATCCAAACAGACAAAATGAACGTCTGTTTAAAGTCGCGTTGGAGTTGCCCCTACTTTTTCGGTTTCATAATATAAGAGCGTTTTTTTACGCTAGTGGACTTGTGTAACGGTTCAAGGCTCAAGACACACGCGGCAGTGCGTCATGGGGGACCCTGCGGCGCAGCACGAGCACGCGGCCGGAATGAATGGATCCGTCAACACGAGGTCCCTCGCGTCCGGACAAGCGCCTGGATCCCCCGCAACCGGCCGCGCGCCACGACGCCCGGCGCGTGGCCGGCGTCGCGAGAGATCGCTCGATCGCTCTTCTTCGCGGCACGTACTGTACGAGGCCCACAGTCCAGTCCGTGGGCCCGGCGCGGCGTGGCGTGGCAAGAGACCTTCGCCGCACGTCAGTCGGGCAGGCGGAGGCCCACAGTACTGCTACCCCGCCGCACTGTAGCTACATGTACTACCGCTCAAAATTAAAAAAAAAACTAGGCATACTAGCGGTCGGGAGCCGGAGGAGCGATTTCCGCCGTTGGTTCCCCCGGTGATGTGTCGGGGCGGCAGCGGTGCCGTCGCACGGGCTGAAAAACGGACAAACAAACCGTGGGCGTCCAGGTGAGTCGAACGCGCCGGGCCAGCCAGGTCCGTCCGTGCGCGCGTTAACTGACTGCAAAAAGGAGGAGCGAAGCCGACGGCGGCGGCGAGCCGAGGCCAGTTGTCGGATCCGGTCGTGCGCCATTCCACGGCAAGGTAGCTGTGGGCGGGCGTCGAGACCTGAAGGCAACAAAAGCAGCGACGGGCACGGCCAAGGGAGGCAGCGGCGGACGGTGGCGCCGGCGGTAGCGTGGCGGGCGGAAAGGCGGGCCGGAGGCGTGCGGCGAGGGGCAGGCAAGGGACGGTGCGGGGGGCGGTAGCGGCACCGTCCGTCCTGCGCTCGCACATGGCCGGGCATGGGGAATGGTGGGGATGGGGATAGCGCCAAGAGGGAAAGAGAGTAACGTAGCGAGAGTCCAGTCCGGGCCATGCCGCCCTCACGCTACGCTCGGGCACGGTGCTCCCTCTGCTGTCTGGGCTGCTCCACACCGTCCGTTCTCTTGCAGTGCAGTGGGACGCCAACGCCTCGGCCCGCTTTATATGCCCCGCCCTCCACATCACCACAGCCCCCGAACTCAACGGCTCGACCAGCTCTCCTCTCCTCTCCTCTCTCTCTCTCTCTCTCTCTCTCTCTCTCCCCACACCACCACATCAGCGGGGCCACCCCCGGCCTCTTCTTCCCTGCATTTGATCCGTCGCTTGCCCGGTCGCCCGTCGATCCGTTAACCCGCCGTCCGTCCGTCCCCGGCAGCCGCAGGTAACACATTTCCGTCCCTCCCTCCCCCCTTGCCGATTGATTAATTTGCATTCCGGTGGCGCAAAGGTGGCGGGCCGCTGCCTGTTCCTCCCGGCCGGACTCCGCCGCGCATTAATGCCTCCCCATTCCGACGCCGGCGGGGCACGGGAGGGGTGGCGCGAGCGGTGGTGGACCGATTGGGCGGGCGGCGGTGCGTACATGTGGGGGCGGGCGTGAGGTGAGTGAGTGACACCGCGCGCGCGGCGCCGGCGGCGTGGTTGGTGGGCCAGCGGCCGGCGAGGAGGAAGGAGGACGGATCTTGTTGCCGACTTAATTTCAGGATCACGGCCCCTCGGTTTCTCATCAACGGGAGAAGCAGTACCATGTTGATTTATTACACTAGTTTTCTCTTGTCTGAATTAGTAACTGATGCCAACGACTGAACATCACCACTTCAGTCATTTCATTCGTGCTCGCTGTAAAAAGGAGGAGGCTCGCCGGTGATTGGGGTCCTCCTTTCCTTTCCTTTCCTTTCCTCGATCTCTACCTGTGCCCAGTGGTGACTGCAGGAGCATTTGTTTTGCGTTCCCGACGACGAAAATGGGATGGGAGTCGAGACCTCATTGGATCCTGCGCGACCTGCTTAAATTTCTTCAAATATTGCGGCTTCTAGGCTCTGACCAGCTCGGTTTCATCATCGCCGCCGCCTTGAAAACAGCACTACTCACATGTGCATCTTTCCTCGTGTCCACAACAAGTTCACATGTGCAGTGAAATCCTCGTGCAAGTCTCCGTTTCCACTTGCAAAGTTCATCGGGATATTCTGCCTTGCTTCCTTGTGAGTTCAGAAGAGGAAACAGCAAAGGAAGAACGCCAGCCACAAGATCAGAGGATCACCTCCTGATTCACGTGACCCTGCCCTGAAAAGTCACAAAGTCCTTGACACCTTTCCCACTCTTCCACTAGTCCTTTTTCCCATGATCATTGTTCTGAAGTATACTGAACTTTACAGAGGGCCGTGACCCGTGACCGTCAGAGAGCGAAAAAAGTCCGTGCTCTTTTTGCTCCATGTATAACTTCATTCATCAGTGATTTGGGCCAGGTCATGTGCAGTTAACGGATTTCTGAAGGTTCCATGGTTGCTGATCGTTCTGAACTTCTCATCTTGTTGCAGTTGCAGGTGGACTGCGAATGTCATCGATGCAGTTCAGCAGCGTGCTGCCCCTGGAGGGCAAAGCGTGCGTCTCCCCCGTCAGGAGAGAGGGCTCCGCCTGCGAGCGCCTCAAGGTCGGGGACAGCAGCAGCATCAGGCACGAGAGGGCCTCCAGGAGGATGTGCAACGGTGGCAGGGGCCCCGCCGCTACCGGCGCGCAGTGCGTGCTCACCTCCGACGCCAGCCCGGCAGACACCCTTGTAAGTTTCATTCCAGTCAGATGATGGTTGAGTTGCAAGGAGACACTCTGTTATGTTAGCATCTCTGACTTTTTGATGCAAAAAAAAAACATCTGCAGGTTCTCCGGACGTCCTTCCGGAGGAATTACGCCGATCCGAACGAGGTTGCTGCGGTCATACTCGGCGGTGGCACCGGGACTCAGCTCTTCCCTCTCACAAGCACAAGGGCCACACCTGCTGTAAGATTACACATTCATCTTCCAGTCATATGTTTTTTACTTTTTTTTTATTTCAAGTTGATAGTTTGATACTAGTACGTCTCAGTTGCAAAAGGAATGAAAATAAATTCTCTGTCATTTGCAGAAACGTTCTAGATCATGTCCCAGTTTTAGGTAGATATGAAAGAAAAAACTTTATTCAAATTTCAGTTGTCATCTGCACATGTTAAATTATTTGGATAGGACCAGTTGAAGTACAGCTCATTATTCAGTAGCAAGGTTTCTGCATTGTGTTGTGTTTAAATCATTATTAGCAGCAGTGGTTTATGTAGCCGGACCCGATGATGCCCCCCACTTTAACTGACATGATGTCAACCTCAAGGCTATCAGTGACCATCCATGTAGCCCGTCCAGTCATCTTCGGATCGCCAGCCTGAATCTTGTTCCTTTCCCTTTGTTGCATTGCTCAGGTTCCTATTGGAGGATGTTACAGGCTCATCGACATTCCCATGAGCAACTGCTTCAACAGTGGCATCAACAAGATATTCGTCATGACGCAGTTCAACTCGGCCTCCCTTAATCGTCACATTCATCGCACCTACCTCGGCGGGGGAATCAATTTCACTGATGGATCTGTTGAGGTAGTTGACCTCAGATTATTAGTTTGTTGTACTCAACTTTTTTTATGATCTTCATCTCGATGTCTTGGGCTTTTAGCTGACTACAGCACAGGTTGACTGATACACCTTTTTGCAACAAATAGGTATTGGCCGCGACGCAAATGCCTGGGGAGGCTGCTGGATGGTTCCGCGGAACAGCGGACGCCGTCAGAAAATTTATCTGGGTGCTTGAGGTGAGAAGAGTACTATCTAGGAGCACATGACCCTCCTTGCACCTCATACTTGTACATCTGGATCTGTTAAAGTAATGCTTATTGTGTTCTGTCTACCTCTCCAGGACTATTATAAGAATAAATCCATAGAGCACATTTTGATCTTGTCGGGCGATCAGCTTTATCGCATGGATTACATGGAGCTTGTGCAGGTTTGTGATGTTCTCTTTAACCAGCTCTAGTGTATGTTCTGTTTTGAACTGGCTGACCAAGCTGTGGCATACATCCTTTACAGAAACATGTGGATGACAATGCTGACATTACTTTATCATGTGCCCCTGTTGGAGAGAGGTATTAACTATTCTTGTACATCCCAGATCCTTATTTATGAGTTGTATCTTCCTTTTGGTGAAGTTGCACTGCATCCTGATTTGCTTTTCTTTGTTTTGGAAGCCGGGCATCTGAGTACGGGCTAGTGAAGTTCGACAGTTCAGGCCGTGTGGTCCAATTTTCTGAGAAGCCAAAGGGTGCCGATCTGGAAGCGATGGTTAGCGCTCACCTTAGCTCACTGATTCAGATATATCTCTACATCTTGAATGAGGTCTAGTTTCTGAAATTTAACCCATTGATCATTGCAGAAAGTGGATACCAGTTTTCTCAATTTCGCCATAGACGACCCTGCTAAATATCCATATATTGCGTCGATGGGAGTTTATGTCTTCAAAAGAGATGTTCTGCTGAACCTTCTAAAGTAAGAACCTGCTCTTGTGACGATGCGGTTCTCCTGTCAGCCTGAATTCTAATGTTGGCATTCTCAGGTCAAGATACGCAGAACTACATGACTTTGGGTCTGAAATCCTCCCGAGAGCTCTGCATGATCACAATGTGCAGGTAAAATTACCATGTGAACTTTATTCATTGTTTCTGCTGGGGAGGTAGCACCTGCATGAAATGCAGTCTGTAAAAACGATTTCCTCTGCATTGCACGACCGTTCATTTGACACTATGTTTGTCAGGCATATGTCTTCACTGACTACTGGGAGGACATTGGAACAATCAGATCCTTCTTCGATGCGAACATGGCCCTCTGCGAGCAGGTGACATTCTAGTTTTGTTTCTTCCAAGTTGACTTGATGTTATTGCAGAAGTAGTTAGGCTTAAATCATCTGATAAATGATAAAGTTGCACTGAGAGACTTCAAGTAACATAATTTCAATCTTCTCACACATTTTTTATTTTGCAGCCTCCAAAGTTTGAATTTTATGATCCAAAAACTCCCTTCTTCACTTCGCCTCGGTACTTACCACCAACAAAGTCAGACAAGTGCAGGGTACGTGTTAGAATGGACCTGCTATTCAGACTATTCCATACAAGCCTCGGTGGTAAGCATCTGATATGGATTCTTCTGTGTGCAGATCAAAGAAGCGATCATTTCGCACGGCTGCTTCTTGCGTGAATGCAAAATCGAGCACTCCATCATCGGCGTCCGTTCACGCCTAAACTCCGGAAGCGAGCTCAAGGTATGTTTTTTCGCACCGAATTAATGCATGTGGTGCATGTCAACTGTAAAAATCATCATGCGTCTGAACGCTGTCATTCTTCTGAATGGTGTTTGTTTGCAGAACGCGATGATGATGGGCGCGGACTCGTACGAGACCGAGGACGAGATCTCGAGGCTGATGTCGGAGGGCAAGGTCCCCATCGGCGTCGGGGAGAACACAAAGATCAGGTGAGAGAGACTGATCTGTACCTCAGAAACAACACGTGTCGTTCGGCGCAAGTGACACATTATCTTTAACACTTTTACGTGGATACATTGCAGCAACTGCATCATCGACATGAACGCGAGGATAGGAAGGGACGTGGTCATCTCAAACAAGGAGGTAAGATACCCTCCTTCAGAGTTTAAACTTGGTCCCAAAATTCTGAAGAAAACAACACTTGTCTCTGAAACCATGCTGCTTTGTGCCATTTCTGACAGGGAGTGCAAGAAGCCGACAGGCCGGAGGAAGGGTACTACATCAGGTCCGGGATCGTGGTGATCCAGAAGAACGCGACCATCAAGGACGGCACCGTCGTGTAGAGCGCCGCCGGGTCGGCGCGACAACCTCTGTGCTGCATTGATCGTCGTCGTTGTCTCGAGGCCGGGACTGAAGAAGTGATCCCGGGACGGGAGACGTTTGAAGCTTGAATGATCGAGACTGAAAGAGAAGGCGCGCGCATGCAGCATTAGTGGTAAAGTAAGTAGTAAGTAGCAGTGGAACAAAGTAATAGTCGTTTTTCCCCTGTACTCCCTCTGTAAACATATATAAGAGCGTTTAGATCACTACTTTAATAATCTAAATGCTCTTATATTTCTTTACGGAGGGAGTAATAAATAAGAGGCTGTGTGTTGAGGTAAAGAAGTGGCAGCGATCAAACAAACTCCCGGGGGATGTTCGTGTAAATAAAACTCTATCTAGACTTGTGAAATTTTCAGGGGGTTTTCCCGTCGTCTCTGTCGGTCGACATTGCCACTTTCCTCTGACGGTCTTTCATGTGATGGTTGCTTTATCTATAAAGCCGGGAAACCTACTTTAAAATGTTGCCACCTTACCATCCATCGGGCGCCACCGCAACAACAATATGTTGCCACCTCAGGTGGAAACCAACAGATACGGTCAGGAACTTTGAATTCGAGAATAACTCATGACCGTTCTTCCTTCGGAGCTCGGATTGCCTTCTGTGGCAACTCCTCCCCCTCGCGATGGCATGTGGCTGTCGGTTAGTAGGGAGGTCGTCGGGGCCTCACGTTCAGACCGTGTTTGTTATCGGCCGTGTCCTCCATGAATGTCCCGTCCAGTTTACAATGTTTACTAATCTGATTCTTTTTCTTCCTTAATGTTGCCTTCTTTTGGAAGCACTTTGTGTTCCGGTCCCCCTCCTTGAGCCATTGTACTCTGGATCACCGACGCCACATTATTTCCTCCCTGTGGTACAGCTTGGCCAGTTTATCTTGCACTTCACATTTTTCTTTTTTTTCTCGAATACGCACGAGTGTGCGTACTATATATTAAAGGAAGAGGGTGGTGACAAGAGCCCGTCCACGTTGGCGTTCACATGTTGCAATGTTACATGCGGACCAACACCGCCGGCTTAGCCGTGTACTACCAAAGCCTAACTTCTCCCCTCAGCCCACCTAACTAAACCTTTCAGAAGAGGTTCTACGCTGCCTTTGAAGATGCCAGCTTGCTTCCATGTGCGTCCTTCGGTGTCAATTCTACTCACGGGCGTCTTCAAGGAAAGGGATGCGCCATCGAAGACGATCGCGTTTTGGTGCTTCCAGATTTCCCACAACACTAGCAGCAGCAATGCGTGTGTGTCCTTCGTCGCTGGCCCAAGAGTAGCTGTGACGGCGCCCCAGTCCCACAGCCTCGAGTCCGGGCTCGGCGTCCACTTTGGCCTACCGAGAGCTCCACAAAGGACATGCCAAACATCCCTCACAAAGACACAACCCAAAAGGAGATGATCGATGGTCTCTTCGTGCTGGTCACAGAAGGGGCACGCCTCTTGGTGGTCCAAGCCTCGCCTCGCGAGTCTGTCTGAGGTCCAGCACCTGTTGTGCATCGCCAGCCAGAGAAAGAAACGGCAACGGAGTGGGGCCTTTGATTTCCACGTGAATTCTGCCGTCGGCTCTACTTCCCACCCCACAAACCGGGCCTCGTAAGCAGATTTAGTGGAGTAGTCCCCATTGGCCTCCCAACTCCAGGTCATGCGGTCCGGTTCTGCCGGTCTGAGCGCCATGTTACTTACCCGGTCCCAAAGGCTCATGTATTCATTCAACTGCTCGCTGGAGAGGTCGGGGCCGATGTCTAAAGCCCAGTCCCCCGTATAAACCGCCCGATGGACCGTCCGAGAACCCCGCGCACTGGGAGCGACAATTGCATATATGGATGGGGCAAGGTCTTGGACCGTAAAGCCGCCGAGCCACCGATCTTCCCAGAAGCGGGCACACTTGCCATCGCCCAGCATAGTTTTTGTGGCTGCCCTAAAGAGTTGCCGCGATTCCACAGGAACTGTAATTTGGAATTCAGCCCATGGTCTGGACTGATCTGTGTGCTGGAGCCAGAGCCGTCGGGCTTGAATAGCTATGTTCAGCCATCGGACGTTGGGAAGGCCCAAGCCGCCCGCCCACTTGGGCGCGCAAACGGCCTCCCAGGCAACTCTACAGTGCCCACCATTGGCGCTCGCGCGGGCGCACCAGAGGAAGCCCCTGCAAATTCTTCTCATGGCTTTGAGCACCTTCTGAGGAATGTCAAGCGCCATCATTGCGTGGATCGGAGTTGCACAGGGGACTGATTTGATCAGCAGAAGGCGGCCACTCTTCGGCATGGAGGTGGCCCTCCAAGTTGGCAGTTTGCGCGCAAGGCAATCCACGAGCCCCATCAGCTGAGCCGACGTTTGTTTCTGGATTGTAAGCGGTAGGCCGAGGTATTTGCAAGGATATACACCCGTCGGGCATCCCAGGATTTGCTCCACTCGTTCCATGTAAGTTGTAGTGCATCGGATGGGCAATGCCATGCTTTTGGAGAGGTTCACCATAAGGCCTGAAGCCTCTCCAAAGCTGTGAAGGATCATAGCACTTGCCCGCAGGTCAGCGTCTTTCGGTTTGACAAAGAGCATCACATCGTCAGCAAACAGCGAGAGTCGCTGCTGTAGCCCAATCCGGGCTAGCGGAGACAGGATGGCACGAGATGCGGCCATCTGGAACATCTTGTGCAGCGGCGAGAGGGGCGTGCCCTGTCGCATGCCCCTGGCATTGAAGATTGGCCTACCGGGGTGTCCGTTTACCATGATCCGTGTCGAAGAGGTGGCCAAAAGTCCACACACCCACTCAATCCACCTCGCACCAAAGCCCATTGCCCGCAGCACCTCGAAAAGAAAAGGCCATTGAACCGTGTCAAATGCTTTCGTGATATCCAGCTTGAGCATCACCGTGGGTTCCCGGAGGGCATGCAATCGACGCGCCATGCATTGGACCAACATGAAATTGTCATGGATGGACCGACCTTTGATGAAGGCACTCTGGTGGATGCCCACCAACTCAGGCAGCTCTAGCGACAACCTAACTGCCATTGCTTTGTCAAAAATCTTCACAGCCCCATGCATGAGGCTGACCGGCCGGTAGTCCTTGATGTCCTCCGCCCCATCGATCTTGGGGAGGAGAGTAACAATAGCTTTGTTGATCGCCGGCAGCCCGTGCATGTCACCTTGGTGGAAGAGGGCCATGGCGTGCATGATGTCACCCTTGATTATGGGCCAGCAAGATGCATAGAATCTTCCAGTGAAGCCGTCCGGTCCCGGCGCCTTGTCCATGGGCATGGACTTGACTACCTGCTCAATCTCATCCACCGTAAAAGGCACCTCAAGGTGTGCCATGTCTCTACGCGGCAGGTTCAGGGCTTCCAAGTTAAGAGTCTGCGCCCGTAGTGGTGCCGCCCCCAACAAGCGGTCGTAGAAGCCATCCACCAAGCAGGAAAGCTCATCCTGGCCCAAGGCCACAGCCTCCCCTTCCTTGAGAGCGGTGATCAAGTTGCTCCATTGGCGGTGATGGGCGTGGCTATGAAAAAACTTGGTGTTCGCGTCCCCCTCACGAAGAAAGAGGAGACGGGAACGCAGCCGTGCAATTGTGCGCTCAAGGGAGGATAGCCCAAGCAGCTTCCTTTTTAGAATTTTGTGCAACTCCCGCTCCGGAGAAGAAAGCTCCCTTGCATCCATGGCCGTGTCTAGGCGAAAAATGACTTCTAGGGCTATTGCAATCTGCATCTTGACGTTGCCCACCCACCGGTCACTCCACTTCTTTAGAGCCTTGGCCGTGGCCCTAAGTTTTTGATCGAGCACAACGTACGGGTTTCCACCCTGTGGGATCGACGCCCAAGCGTCCCTGACCGTGTCAAAGAATCCGTCTGCCTTCGTCCAAAAAGACTCGAACTTGAATCTCCGTCCCATGCTCAACTCCGCACCAAGGTTCAGCAACATGGGGCAATGATTGGAAACTGCCGTGCTCAGCGCCGTAAGGAAGTTGTTAGGGTACATGTCTTCCCAAGAGTTGGTGCAAAAAACATGGTCAATCTTCTCCATGGTTGCCCGATCTCGTTCATTTGACCACATATACCTTCTACCATTCAGATAGAGCTCCTTGAGCTCGAGCAAGTTAAGCCGCCTACGGAACCGGGACGTCATCCGCCTATTGATCAACTCGTTGTTCTTATCCTCGGGGTTTACTAGCAAATTGAAGTCACCCACGACCACCCAGGGTCCCGCGTGCAAGTCCGCTGCGGACCATAGACGCCTGTGAGCCACCACTCTTGGCCTTCTCAAGGCCGAACTAATGCAGTCAAGGTGTTGCTGGTGTAGTGCGGGTTTGAGACCGCCACGATCGACGCGTCCCAAGATAGAAGTATCCCGCCCCTCGTACCGATAGCCGGAAGGTAGAAAAAGTGCTCGAATTTATTTCCGAGGCAGTGCCTCATGATGTCAAGAGTTACAACTTCTAATTTAGTCTCCTGGAAGCAAACCACTGCGGGGTTTGCCGCGGCCACCACCTGCCCAGCGGCACACCTACGAGCCGGGTTGTTCAAGCCGTGAACGTTCCACACGAGGATCTTGGACGGCTGTGCGTTCATTTCAAAGGCCTACCGAGCTGCCACGGACTGGGCACTAGCGTGCGCCATCCACCGCCTCATCATGCTCGAGCAAAGGCAGGACCGAAGGCTCCCAACCAAAAAAGGTTAGGATGGCCTTGATATGCCCGTCGTTTAGTGGCTGCTGGAACAGCTGAGCATATGCGTGCAGCGTGTCGTCTAACATTTGGTCCCTTCATTAGCCAAGCAAAGCTTCCGAATAAGCACCCCTTGCTGCTTAGAGGCATGCGAGCCCTGTCCAGCTCCACGCGCGATCCTCACACTCCTCCTGGGGTTTGAAACCGGTTGTCTCCTCTGCCTGGGATGCATTTTGGCCGCTGGTGGTTCTCTGGCAAGTGGCCTAGCAAGAATTGGGGAAG